ATTCATGAGTATAAAGTTTATTTCGTGTTTGCTGAGTTTCTGAGTTCATTTTAAACTAGAGTTTTTGAGAAAGGAGTTAAAGAGCTGGTCTTTGCGAATAATAAACTTACTGGGATCGCCTAATATGAACTTGGCCTAATTGTTCTCCGAGGCATACCTGTGCAATGAGTGCTTTTCCAAAAGACAAATATCCGATATTGTCTATTGATGGCGGCCTTGCGGTACTTTCACTGGACACAATCCTTCTCTATAGCCCTTCACTTAAGAGAAACTATGAATTCATTTATTTCTTATCGCACTTTTTAAAAAAGCGTTTAGATATATCTAATTGACCATGTATCCATAATTACCTCCCTTTATCAACCATTTGACTTGATTATCTGCTTACATTATAAAATAACTCATATTCTTGCGTTTATTTGATTTGTTCGGAAATACCCTTTCTATTTTTTTTTCTAACCACATTTGTGATGTTGCGTCGACTTTAATCCACACTGGATGATAATGAATTTTAGGCCGCATAGCATTGCGAGACTCAATAAAAGAGCAGGCTTATCCTTTAATTCACTTTCACTTGTAGTACCTTACCTGAAATATCTCATCTTATCGACTGTCATCTTCATGATATGTGTATCTAAATAAGTACTAACTGCACTGAGGGTGAATCTGACTACGACAGATTGAATGGAAAGTCAGATTTTAAATTTGGTTGTTTTGTATAATATAGGCAAAATGGACTTTTAAATAGAGTATTTATCATGGTTCAACCAATTTTTAATCACACTCCTATCTATTAAACTGACTATTGGATTAGCGTTCTACTTGATTTATCTGATTTATCACATTTTAGGTCGGAGGACTAGACGAGTATGCAGTAGCCGACGCCATTGCGCTGGGGAGAGTGACAAAGCCCTTAATTGCCTGGTGCATCGGCACATGTGCTGAAGCTCTGGCCCGTCGCCATTCCAAGAGCGACAGCACCGATGAAGTGGATGTCTCGAGTGTGCAATTTGGTCACGCCGGTGCCTGCGCTCAATCACCACACGAGACAGCAACTGCCAAAAACTCTGCATTGAGAAAGGCGGGGGCCTATGTGCCCAACTCTTTTGACGAGCTGGACACGATGATTCAGTAAGTTAGTTTGGGAATAACACCTCTTAGAAGGTAATCAGGTCAGAAAAAGAGGACGTTTCCCTTTATCTCGATTTAGTTTGTTATGTTGCCTTGGCCGCGAATACTTTGTCACTGTTTCTTCATTGATCTTATAGCTAACACGGTATCTGTTTTATATGGAATTGTGACATCGGTACATTTTAAATCGCGAATACGAAAAATTTATATGAGATATGTTTGCTCTATTTTGTTTAAGGTTTTACTTATTTGCTGCTTGTCTGAAAACCCCACTTATAAACGAAAGAAAAGTTAGTGATTGCAATCTTACTCCCTCATATCTTATTTTGCTATTCTAATAAGGCATCTCTTTATGTGAGGACCTTATTTAGATGGTAAAATCAGAATTAAAAAGGGAATATAATCACAACCATCCACCTTTCTTGATTTGAAGTATTAGATTTTGGCTCTTGAGATTTCTATCAATAACGTAAACGAATGCCAAAAATAAATTTTTATGGATTGCAGAATGATTAGTCAAGAACTTATTAGAACAATCCAAAATGCACCATTCCAAGACAATCCTTTCTTAATTTCCGGCGAGGCCAACTTTTCGTTCGACATGAAAATTCTAATGGCATTTAATTATTAAGTGTTTATTAAAAATCCTGCTTTTCCTCGTATTTCATTGTAATCAATGTTGAACTGACTTCCATACATTAAAGAATGTGGTACATTGTCTTGCTGAAAAGGCCTTTTCAATAACATGACTCAGTAAGAATAACGCACCTGGGAACCTCGATGTAAAGGTTTATTCCCTAAACGTTATACAAGGAAATGTATAATGCCAGAGAATAGATATGCATCTTACCAACTCTATCAGATAATAATACTATTTAGCTGTTATAGCCTGGATTCGATTTCCTATTTCCAGATGGGCATAGTCATGCTATGAATATTACGGTAGACACAATATTTTTCAGATGAAGATTTTTACAGGAAATTTAAAGTGAATTCGACCTCCATTTGCTTCTTCTTATATGTAGCTATGCAGAAGAGACAGATAGGATATGTCTGGTCGGTAAAGTTGTTCAGAAATTAAATCTTGGTAGTCAAATAATTGTGAAATTTGGCATTATAGAAGTACGATATTGACGTGTTAAAGCCATTGGGTATAAGGTTATGTTTATACGGTTAGTACTTGATAAAAATTACCCCAAGTTGGAGTACTTCCTAATTCGTTTGAAGAGGCGAGTGGAAAGTTTCGTAAGTTGGTCTCACCTGAAGCTGTATGGGGATTGGCTTGGAGCTGTGATTGTAGCTTTGTGCGAATAGGTCCTACATGTCTAAATTTTTGTTCAAAAATTGAGTATAGTGACTGCGGATGAAGCGCTAAACAGATGCACTTGTGATCTAAAAGCTGCACCCTCTCCTATAGCAAGCATACCTTTGATCCTGCAATGATACCACATGTATTTGAGTTCCATTGCATGCGTATTGCGTGTATACATTGCTCTTAAAATGTGTGGGATGTGAGATTTAAAACCAGATTCGAGCCTAATCAAGCCTCCTCTTGTTCGGGGCGATTTCTCGCTCTCCCTCCACTCTCTCTTTCTCTCATCCTATCCAGCAACCACAAGTAGTTTTCATTTAACTTACTACACTCGTTCCTTCTATTCAGGGTATTTGCTGTTTTGTTTATTTCTATCGCCCCCCTAATCTTTCGCTTACTGACATAGTCACCATATCCAGCTAAACATTTGACATTAGACCAGTTTATCTGGTGTTGTACTGTGCGAGCCATGTGTTCGGCCAATTCCGATTTTTGGATCCACAGATCTTTGCAAGATGTTTTGTGTTCAGATAACCTCTTTTATATGGGCCTACAGGTCTCTCCAACATAGGCACTACCACATGAACACAATATCTTGTAACAGCCTGATCTGGAAAGACGGTCAGAGTTTTCTCGAAAAGAAAGCCATACCGTGGGAAATGTTATTTTCTTTTTATAAATGGTTCTGATGTCCTACCTTTTAAGTAATTCGCCTATCTTCTTCGACTTTACATGATGGCAGCACAAGGTTTCTGGTAGAGTGGTCTAACTTTTTATCTAGCTCCAAATATATAGTTCCCTCCATCCTACTTGACAATATTTCAAAATAATTGCCAATCAGTCCTCCTGGATAATTGTTCTCAACTAAAATTCTACTTACTTACATCACTTTCCATTTCGAAGGAAAAGTTGGAAGGTAAGTTGGAAATTCATGTCACAATATAGCACTAAGGCATTCTTCGGATCCCAGTTTTCATTCATATCTTAGAATTCTCAAAAAATTCAATTACTGGTCCGGATGCTTAATCTCTTCGGAACGCAGACTCATTATTATAGGCATCATAA